CAAATTAATCTTGTAATTTTCCCCCAAGCAATTAGTTTGCTGCTTTTCTTTTCCTGAGAGGAAAAGGCAGAAATTTCACTTCCCTCTCATTGGGGAGGATTCTTCGCTTTGGACGATTTTTCCCAGGAAAAAGTCTTAAAATCATGAAGAGAGGATAAAGTCTCACCCAGTTCCATCCACATTGTTCAAAAGTTGCTTGTTAGTACTTACTTTCTTCGGTTGTCAGCAGCTTCTGACTGGCCATATGAATGTGGCCAGTCTTTCCCCCACCAGTTTGGAGGGTTTCCTTAGATCAAACGGAAGGGCCACCACCCCTCCACAATCAATGAGGGTTCCCTCCTTCTTCGTTGCTTCTCTGGGGCGACTTTCGACCCTTTTTAGGGTCCCCAGTAGGGCAAAATTGAACGTGAAAGACGGAGCCCCATTTTTCTGTGTCCTTCACGCTGTGACACTGAACCAGAAGCTTGAATTAGAATATAGTTTGATGGTGAGTTGAGAACCCATTTTCAGAAACAAATTACAATAGATCAAAACATTTATGGATTTAATTAAACGAAGTTAACAATTTATTGCTTATGACTAGCAGCTGTCTCATAGGTGGCATTTCCTAGTTGACTTTGTGTTCAGAAGCTAAGCAAGGTCAAGCCTGTTTAGTATTTTAGTTTATGTCACAAAATTAAAGCAACAACAACTAATTGGAGACCCGCAGAAATACCAGAGCTGTAGATTAGATTAAGAAATTGAAATAAAGTAGGTAATCCTCGATTTACAATAACAATTGAGACCAGAATTTCCATCACTAAATAATTGGTTGATAAAATGCAACTCCATCACTTAGCCAGGGCAATCCCTGCAGTCCTTGTTGCCATAGTTTATTTAATCCCATGAGTGTTAATGAGAGGCAACCTCCTGCTGGCTTCCCACAACCAAAGTCAGTGGGGAAACTAGCAAGAAGTTACAAGTTCCAGGCTGGCAGGCAGTTATGAAGGTGCTGAAGATGGGGGAGGGAGGAAAGGGGTGTGTTGAGAATGGGAAGGAGGGACAGGGAGATTGTGTGAGGTGTCCTGTGAGTTTTGATCCAGTTTTAGTCACATTACAAAAAAGATGTTGAGACTTTGGAAAAAGTGCAAAGAAGAGCAACTAAGATGATTAAAGGCCTGGAGCTTAAAATGTATGAAGAACAGTTGCAGGATTGGGAATGGCCAGTCTAGAGAAAAGAAGGACTAGGGGGGACATGATAGCAGTATTCCAGTATTTGAGAGGCTGCCACAAGGAAGAGGGGGTCAATTTATTTTTCCAAAGCACCAGAAGGCAAGACAACAGATAGAAATTAATCAAGGAGAGAAGCAACGTGGAATTAAGGAGAAACTTCCTAACAGTGAGGACAATTGACCAGTGGAACAGTTGCCTTCAGATGTTGTGGGTGCTTCATCACTCAAGATTTTTAAGAAGAGACTGGACAACCACTTGTCTGAAATGATATAGGAGCTCCTGCTTGAGCAGGGGGCTGGACTAGAAGACCTCCAAGGTCCCTTCCAGCTCTATTCTGATTGGGATTGGATTGGAAAGGGTGCAGGGGATTTATGCATGGGTCAGGGAGAATGTACAGGGATGCAGTGCAAATTGGGAAAAGTCCACAAGATTGTGTGAGAAGCACTGTGGGTTGGGGAAAGTGTATGAGGGTGTGTGAATGGCTAGTGCAGCACAGATGCAGAGGGGTTGGATAAGGTGTGCAGGCAGGCAGGTTTACCCCAACAACATGACTTTCCCTGACAGCTTCCCCATTGATTTTCTGGGGAAGGTTGCAAATGGCAGTGACATGATAGTGCAGTGCTTGGCAACCAGTTATAAGTGCAAATGGGTTGTCAAATGTCCAGATCGTGATCCCGTGGGGATGCTAAATGACTATAAATGGGAACTGGTGATATCTCCCTTTGTTCAATACCATAGTAACTTCAAAAAGCTGCTGAACGAATTGTCATAAATCAATAACAACCTGTATCCTGGAATGAGGCAATGGCAAACCATTTCAATATTTCTAAGAAAGCTACATGGACATCTCTATGAAATCACCAACAGTTGAGCTTGATTTGAAGGAGATTCAAAATCTTTTAAAGAAATCAAAATGTGAAGCTTTGTAGGATTTTGTGCCATGATGGATATATACATGAAACATTTCAACGATAGCAAATAAGTGACAAATAACTTATGCCCAATTTATTTCTCCAGCAGGTAGTGGTAATGAACAACCAGAAAAGAAAGCAAGGATAGAACTCTCTGAAGAGGAGCTGAGGAGTCATGTTGATAGAGGCACTTTGGGTAAACTTACTGTGCCAGTTCTAAAGGATATATGCAGAGTTTATAAGCTAACAGGTGGTGGAAAGAAGCATGAACTTTTAGATGTGATAACTGCACATTTCAATAAGCACTGAGTTTACACTCCCAACTGCTTCAAACATTTTAATGTTGAAAATCTCCTAAATGTTGAGATTTTGACAAGAAAAATTGGGAATATGTTTTCATAGGCATTTGATAAAAGGGAGTGGGAATCAGGGTTTTCTCTTTGTGAAATTTATAGTAAAAGCCTCTCTCCACTTCTGGTTCTAGATTTGATTGTGCAATTTTCATCTTGTCTTTAATAAATGAGCTTGGTTTGGCTGTCAGCTTTTTTGTTCCCACTATTTCACATATAAAATAATGCACAAAGTATTATTTAGGAAAAATAGCTTATTTTTGGAAGGATAGTACTATATAAATTTGATTTTTACGCTTGCCTTAAATATATAACAAACCTGCCCTGTGTTTTTCCCCCCGACCATGTTACTTCTTCCAAGCATGATAGAAACAACTTAGCCATTCAGGTTTTATAGTGGTTTTTTTCTCTTCAGGAGGCATCCTGTACTTTAAAAAAAAAATTTTTTTTTAAAGCTGATTGCAATTTAATAATAATAATAATAATAAATTTAATTTATATGCCGCCCTTCTCCCAACGGGACTCAGGGCGGCGCACAACATATTTAAAACAAAACATAAATACATTCCCCCCCGATAAAACCGAATTAAATCAAATTTTAAAGTTGTGTCTCTGTCGAATTGTTAAAAGATAAACCCCAAATAAAATCCTCCCTAGGTCAGGTC